AGCTAGCAGTTCGGGTGTGGGATTGTCAGTCCCGAATAGATCTATTCACAAATCTCACGTTCTCCCTCCAAGAGACATTGGTTATACTATGATAGGATTTATCCCTGTACACCTAAGGGTACAGTAGTGAAGTAGCGATTCACAGTATCGTACAATCTAGTTTACATGTAGTGTAGTAGCGTTCTACCGTAGCAAAAATCTGAATGTATATCGTTCGTAGTGATCATTACAGTTACAAAAACGTGATAAAGTAGTGATGCAAAATGTAAACTACTTCTGTCTTAGTGCATACATTTAGTAGTGAAAGTTTCTATGCTTGTTATGTTTAGAAAAATCCCAAACTATACCGATTATAGTTTGCATGAGTAACGTAGTGAATAGCGAATCCGGAAAACTATGAAATTTCAATGAAAAATGACTCTTATGCTCAACACAGTACAAAAGGGTTAAAGTATAAGAATTTCATGAGTTTTGAAAACATTTATGTTTAGCTTGTATTCCCCCCCCCCCCCTGAAAACATTAAAAAGACAGAAAAATGTAGGGGTATGAACTCACCTCGGGTGATTTGAGTGAAGGATCGATACGGAATGCGGGATGTTCAAGTGAAGCCTTGAACACGATTTGATCCTAATCAACAAGTAATGACACATAAAGGAGTCAAATGATGGTATTTCACCACTAGATGTGACGAAGAACCATTCTAAGAACGTGGGACTACTTGCACTAAGTGTTAGGACCTCAAAGGATTGCATGAGTGAGGTGTATGGCCACTTTAAAGGTGTTTTCAAGGCCCATACTTGCATCTATGAATTGTCCTAGGCCCATACTTGGTTGTAGTACAAGTTTAGGGTCTTAGAAATGGGTTTGTGGTCCTATGGTGTGTGTGTATGGTCGCACAAATGAGTGTGCTGCCGCACACAGGAGTGTGCTGCCACACACAGGAGTGTGCTGCCGCACACACAGGTGTGCTGCCGTACACACGAGTGTGTGGTCGCACTCCTTCAACGAGATGAAGAACATGAGGGGACTTTCATGATTCAAGGGCTAGATCAAGAGGTTCTTCAAGTATAACAAGCTAAGGGATGGATTACTCACGTTTTTTAAGCTTTGGAAGGTTCAAAGTTGGAGAAACTTCAGAGGAAATGATGTGTGTGCTGCCAAGGTGTTAAATGAATGAAAGGAAGGGGGCTACCCTTTATATAGGGGTAAAGGTGCTGCCCAAAAGTGAGCGTGCTGCCAAGGGAGTGGGTGTGCGGCCGCACACCCGTGTGTACGGCCGTACACTCCTTCAAGAGGTGTGTATGGCCCAATTTTTCACTATTCAACACTCCGACTCATTCCTAAACTCAACCTTGGTTATATATACAAGCTTAGAACACTTAAATGACCCCTTGAATAGCACTAGAAATCGACGAAACAAGTTGAATATTGATTGAATTGATTAATTGTACAAGATTGAAATTATGGGTTGTCACATATATATTGTTTGTTTATTTGAGATGGGTGTGGAATGGATGTTTTATACAGGTTTTTAATGATTTAAACCGTATATGTATTTTATATCTACAAATATGTTGGGTAGAACATGGGTAGATGAAATATTTGGTGACTATGAGACGTAGTGCCTATTGTGTAAACCCTAGTGACTATGCGACGTAGTGCTTATTGTATAAACCCTGGTGACTATGAGACGTAGTGCCTATTGTATAAACCCTGGTGACTATGAGACGTAGTGCCTATTGTGTAAACCCTGGTGACTATGAGACGTAGTGCCTATTGTGTAAACTCTGGTGACTATGCGACGTAGTGCCTATTGTATAAACCTTGGCGACTATGAGACGTAGTGCCTATTGAATAAACCCTGGCGACTATGTGACGTAGTGCCTGTTGTATAAATTGTGGTAGCAATGGACTTTGTGTCGATTCCTTAGGTCAATCCTTAGGAACGAATGAAGGAAGGATAGTCGATTCTTAGGGTAAAACCTTAAGAAATAAAGAAGATAATGGGGATGGATAATTGGGTTGATTGTTTGATGATTGAATATAATAATTATATTATTGTGGGTTGAAAACCCTATATGCTCACCAGGCTCTCAAGCCTGACCAACTCAATTTTCTTTGCATTACAGGTAATGACATAAGAGTATAAGTTGGTGGACTTGACGAGAGATTTTGGATTATAGATCAGTAGTTATAAATGACTGTTGTTAGGTCTATTTTATAATGTTTATGCTTTTGGTCTGTATCGGAACATGACATCCCGGGATTTTGTTATTTAATGAAAATACATTTCTTTAAAGAAATGCTTTGATAAATTCTTATCACATTTTGTTTTGGGAACAAATTCCGCAACTGTTTTCTTTAAAAGATTACTCTGATTTATAAAACAAAGCATAAACAAATCGGACTTTTCTGGCCGTGAAAATGAGGATGTCACAAACCCAGAAGGCATCTCCAATATCCTTATCCCAAGTTTCAACCAGGTAATTAAATCTCTTTGACCTCAATCAACAATTCCAAAGGTTTTACTATTTTGTAGTAATTTTCTCCAGTTAGGGTTTTCAGCCTCATTGTGGTGGTTGATTGGCAAAAACTTTCCAGTTCCTCAGACGACGAAGAGGTTGATTGGTAAAGGTGACTCTAATTTCACAACAAGCATCGTGTTACTATACGACTTATCACTCACTGTAACATAAATTACACATGTAATAAAAAAAGAAATACTATTTGAACTTCTTTTTCCTGTTAGTTGCAGAGGTTTGGGAATATTGTTGGTGTGTTTAAAGTCATGTCAATTGCAATTAGTGCCCTTGAAGAAGGGGAAGTTGACACCGCTTATATGACTAAACTTGCTAAACTTGCCACTGCTGAGATCATTTCATTAAAGGTAATTTTGGGTCGAGTCTTTTCGGTATTGTTTCTCTAATGGTTAATCATTTCAAAATTTGTAATATAATCTTTATGATATTGTTTGGCATCTGTATATATGATGGAAGACTTTGAAAAATCAATTATTAATAGTGATTGAGATGCTAACATTCTCTACACTAAGTTCTCCATTTTGTCATTGCGTCCTAAATTAACCATTTATGTTGGTTAAATTTTTTAAAACATAAAGAAGATGATTTAATCAATGCAAGTACGAAAGTATAAGTATACTGATTGTACATTATGTTTCTAATAAAAAATTTAAAAGTAAAGCTTTTTAATATATTGATTGCAAATTGTGTATTTAATAATAAATTTAAAAGTAAAGTTATGTTTTTATCCTTCTACTTTGAGGAGGTAATAGGATACAATATCAAATGCAACTTTCACTTCATAACTTGGCGCTATATTAATTTTGAATTTTAATTTCTCTTGGCGAAATTGTTACTTAAGTACCTTAGGCATATGAGGAGCCCCTCTCGTGTTTGTAACCACATTTATAATATGCAAAATGTTGTGTTAATAATTTAACATATAAGCAATTTGCATGTGTGTAGCCAACAACTAAGCTTTTTTAATTCAATCAGCTCAATTGATTTTTCATGTAATGTAGTCTTCTCAAGGTATTGTTGCTTCTTGGTTCTTATGCCAATACTCCAAAAAGATTATTATATTTGATTGTCATGGCCTATCAAGAGTGTTTGCACGTATGTAGTGGGACAATCGAATAAGCTTGAAGAGCTGACAATATCAGAATGTAAGTCAATGGTGGAGATATTTGAAAGTAAAGAAATAAACAAAGATGGTGTTGATAGTACTACTAATGTTGGTGATGGAAGTGATGATACTTGTACTGCAATCACCATCCCAAGGTCGGCAAATATGACTCTGCTTGAATTGCCCAACCTAACAATATTGAAATAGAAAGATGTGAAGTTTTGGAATATATATTCACAAGTTCCACACTTGAAAGCCTCAATCAACTCAAATAATTGATTGTAGCAGAATGCATGGCAATGCAAGTGATTGTGAAGGAAGATGGAGAGCACACAGAAACATCTAAATCTATTATAGTCTTCCCTCGTCTCAAGTCTTTTACACTGGGTTTTTTTTTCAAATCTCAAGGGTTTCTTCTTGGGGACGAATGAGTTCACGTGGCCAGTATTGGAAAAGGTTGAGATTTATGGCTGCCCACAAATGATGAATTTCACATCTAGTCACTCCAATGCTCCGAAGCTCAAATACATACATACAGGAATAGGCAAGCATAGTCTTGAATGTGGCCTCAACTTTCATTTAACCAATGCTCCACATGTGGTATGTTGTTACTTTACTTGCAACGTTAATCAAGTAACCTTGTCAGCATGTTATGATGTTAAAGATATTATTTGCTTACAAGTTTAAGTGGTTCATGTGTGTATTCCACAAAACGAAAACAATACAAATACATAAACACCTCCCATTTTTTTTATCCAAATTTAGGAAGATTTGCAATTTATTTTATTATAATTTATTAGTTTACTCTTGCGATATTAAATTGTCTGTAATGTTAAAAATAATGTTAAATTCACTCATACAAAAGTCAACCAGTTAGTTTCCATATTAAGTTAGATGAACTAAAGACAACGGCCAATTGCAACACTTATTATGGGTGGGTTTTTCAAGGTCCAGAGATACAAATTAAAAGTTCAATTTTTTTTTGTAAGATTTAAATTAAACTCATTTTAATGTCAGGGTCACATAATCTTGTTGATTAAGAAAACATTTAATTTTCATCTACAACCATTTTATTTATATAAAAGTTATCAGTTACACCATTTGGTTACAACTAACACCTGCAATATTTCAATATATATAAACTTAGCTTTGTAAAAAAATATAATAAAAAATATGTATTATTTCTAAAAATATTAAACATTATTAATTTTTTTTTATCTCAAAATTATTCTTGTTTACTTTAATATAGAGATAGATTTTTTAAATTCACAAAAAAAAGTTATGGGTCCTATTGAAAAAAAAGAGTAAAGTTCTCATTTACATCCTTATACATTTATATAATAGTATTTAATTACATTCTTATTTTAAAAAAAAAGTTATTTTATACATTTATTATCCTTGTTTATTTGATTTAATAAAAATAAATAACATTTGCAAAAATACAAAAAGTTAAATTATATTGTAAGATTTTAATTAAGAATTTTCTTTTAACTTGCATTATTATTAGATTTTATCACCGAAAGATTAAAAATATATCTGTATATATGATTTAATATATATACTTTTTGTATATTGAAAAAAAAAGATTTTCATTTGTAGAAAAACAAACACTTAATTACTAATGGCTTGGAATAACAACTATTCAAGCGAGGGCATGTACAAAATGAGAACCTAAGAAAAAAAAGGATTTCTAAAATTTTCGTGAATAAACTAAATCATTAACAAGTTCATAAATGGTACAAATTTTAAATATTATTGATAATATTATGATATTTTTAACTTTATTACAATATAAATAAAGTAAAACATTTTTTGTCTACATAATATAATACAAAAAATATGGATTAAACAAATAAATAAATATCATGATATCCATCGGATACCGGATAGTGAAGATAAATTTATAAAACGAATTATGTACAATAGATATAAAAGGGCGTGACATGCTATGAACCTTTAGTATTTTGTATGCTCTAAAGTATAATAAAAATTTCAACTCAATTATCAAACCATTTTGAATTCTGAGCACATAATAGTTAAGTTTCCTAAAATAGAAGATGTAACAAGTTAAACACCATTTAGATTAAATACATGAATATAAAAAGATTATTTTCTTATGTATTATAAAAGATATTTGGCAAGTTTATTCTGATTTAAATCATTTTAAAATTACATAGCTAGAAATGGTTCTATTGTAATCAATTCGTCCTTTTCCTAAATCAGTAATTATGCAACAATAATTTGTAATTAACTCATTTATTTTCACCCAGTTTAATTAACTTACCTAACACAAATCATTAATAACTATTGTGATGCTAGTAGTTACTTAATCAAGTTGTTCTTTTCTCTGGTAGTCTTTTCCAAACTAACAATATATGTAACTTGAATTAACTAAAATTTGAGTAAAACTGTGTAGATGAGATTGTTGTAAAAGTATAAATATAACATCCATATATCTCTTGCTATATTTTAGTATGCAATAAAAATATAAATAGTAATAATACGATATATAAATCTTAATTCTTTGAACCCTATTCCTCACATTGCTCATTTTGACACAAAAAAAAAAAAGAACTAATGTAGGTAGTGTCATAGACTAGCTAGGCTGTCGATTTCTAATACATTTTGGTTCAGAAAAGAATAATATAACTTACAATCTTTTAATATGTTTATATACTAATTGTATTTGTCCTTTATAATTGTGGTGTTTGTGGTGATTTATGTTTGTTTTTTCTTAGCAGACTCAACCCTCTATATATATATATATATATATAT